GATGACACGTGGCAAAGTGGCAAGGTAGAATAGGGACACATGGCAAAAATGAGTTTTGTTTATTAGAGGAGGTAGATTTTAGCGGTATAAACAAGATCGAATAATTATGATTTATTTTTGAATTATTTTAATTAAATCGGAATTATAGGAATATTTAAGAAGATGACACGTGGCAAAGTGGCAAGGTAGAATAGGGACACATGACAAAAATGAGTTTTGTTTATTAGAGGAGGTAGATACACACTAGATTATAACCCACTACGGTTACAAAAATAATTAAAATTTTATAGTAAAACTCAAAATTATTAATCAATTATTTTCAATAAATTAGTAATTAAACATGATTTTGTAGGATTTTTAATATAGAAATACAATTAATTATCGGCAATAATAACCGAAACTTATTCAAGACGAATTTTAATATCACCTAAAAATCAGGGATCAAATAAATAGTTGTCTAACTTATTATTAATATTAATACTTTTAAAAAAAATAAAAAATAATAAGAAAATAACAAGTGACACTAATAACTATTCTTTTATATATATATATATATATATATATATATATATAGATATATATATATATATATATAGAGAGAGAGAGAAGAGAGAGAGAGAGAGAGAGAAAGAGAGAGATAGGTTCAGGTGTTTAAAGTATTTATTGTGTTATTGTATGCATAAATGTGGGCCAATCAAAATTTAAAAAATAAATAAATAATCAAACAAATAAATAAGGGTAATTTAGTAATTTGATAAATAATTTCTACAAATATACTCCTATAATTATGGTAATTACTTTGACCTACCTTTATCCCTTTTTAAAACGATCAACAATCACTGTATTCTATCCCATTCGATCCTCCCTAACCCTAGCTCCAAAACAGATAAAATATACGTCTCCCAAAATTACCAGGTTAAATCCATCGCCCACAGAAGATCGTCACCACCATCATGTGTTGTTGCCGCCGATCGCTTTCAGATCGTGTTCGGAAGAAGATCCTGATGCAGAGCCTGTTGCAATTAGAAGAGGCAGAAGAGCTTTGCATAAGGAAAATACTCCCTATACTGGGGATAAACCTCCACGTTTGAAGGAGAAAATTAAGATGCAGGTCAATCGCATTTTGGCAGAGAAGAAATATCTGGAATCGAAGAATCCTAAGGAGGGTGCGAAATACGTATTACGAGCTGGGGTTCGAGATGTCATCAAATCTGGATGTGGCAAAGAGAATATTGATCCAAATTTCATCAAATCTGAGCTGTAAGCGATGGATAAAGTGATCGATGGTGACCAAAGTGGAGAATTCGAGATTTCTTATCAAGCTACTGGGAATAACAAAACTATTAATGAATTGGTGGAGGAAAAAGGATTTGTTCTGATTCAAGCTACTCCAGATATGGTAGAGGGATTTAATTCTTCGATATCCAAGGTTAGTAATTCTAAGACATCAGTTCTTCCCTCTATGAATGATACGATCTAAGATAAGGGTATTTTGGGCGCTAAACCTGTGGTTCCTGATCCAAAATCTGTTACGCCATCTGTGCCTGTGAAAGTAGCGTTCCCTTCTGTTACACTCTCTGTTCCTGAGAAGTTAGTGAATCTTTATGTTAGTAGTAATGATGAAGTCATGAAAGATTTTTCGAATGAGGATATTAAATTTGGGTGGTGATTTTTTACCTGCATGATTTACAACCGTAGATTATTTTATTGTTCGAGATTTTTAGGTCACCGTTAGTATGAACTGATGCCAATATAACCTGTTATGAAATTCACGAAGTCTCAGTCTTATTTATTATCAGTGGAAGTAAATTGTGTAAGTCAATTTTGTTTTGATTTACTGAAACTTGGGATAATTAATGGTTGGTTCATACGATTATAGATTAGTTGCCCTAATTCACCATAATACCCCAGCCCATGCGTGTGTTATGTTTATGTTAAGTAGATGCACCTGTATGGTGAAGTTACCTTTAGTGGTTTTTAGAATAATTGGTGCATACAATTATATTCATGCTCACACATGTATGTGTTTATAATGCTTATGAAAAGTAGAGGCATCTTTAAGTCTATCATTCTGTTTAGTTAGTTGACCATGGAATTAATATGTTTTGTTGATCTCAATAGCAGAATGAGAAAAGACCTGGTTGTATGAAGTAGACAATGACCATGAAATCATATTTTGTTGGCATATTCATATCACAACTGAATTAGAATGTCGATCTTATCTAATTAAAATATTGATATGGAATTGACTGGCTTCACTTGTGGTAACAGTGTGATGAAGATACAAAAACTCAGTTGATCTTTTTATAAATAATATGGGGCAGATGAGACCTTCGAAGGTTTACGGTTTTTGGGAACAAAAGAGGAAGAAGGCGAGGGCAAAGGAGGTCTCGGTGTGGCTGAAGGTTTTCATCAGACCCAGTGGATGCATGGACGAGGTGTGGGGTCAGCTGCCTCAATGGAGCCATCAACTGTAGGTGGGCTGTTTGTTTCCAACAGGTGGCAGATCGTAACTGAATCTTGAATTCCAATTCTATCAGAATGGAATCATGAATTCCAATTCTGTTGGAATGGAATATGGATATTTTCTCATTGATTTATGCATTTGATTTGTTTCCACAGAAGCAGCTGATGCTTGAAGAATGGACCATGAAATTGAAAGTGATTCTTAGCAACATTATTCTTTTAGAATCTATTAGTGTCTTTGTTAGATTTTGATGTTTTTTTTTCCCGATTTGAAAGTTTTTTTAGTTTTATTCTTTAACAATAAATGTAATTCTTAGCAATTGTTACCCGCGTTCTATAAGAATTAATGTAATGTTTGTTTTTATTCTTCAATTGATGGTTCAAGAATTTGTTATTCTCCAAGAAGTTGTTAAAGTTATAATCAAGAAATAGGTTCAAAAATATTTTTATTATTTTATGGTTCAAGAATATTTTTATTTTTGATAAATATATTCTGTCAGAATATCCGAGAATTATCATCACTACAATCAGATTTTTAAAATTAATAGAATTTATTATCCTTTAAAATATGCAATTTTTCTTTTTTAAATTTATGTTAATTGACTAAAATACCCTTAAAATGAAATTAGATGGTATTTTCTAATTATCTTTAATTTAATAATATGTATTATTCACTTTCTTAAAATAAGTAAAATTGATTGACCCACATTTATATATACAATAACACAATAATTACTTTGAATAGAATAACCTAAGCCTATATATATATATATATATATATATATATATATATATATATATATATATATATATATATATATATATATATATAGAGAGAGAGAGAGAGAGAGAGAACAATTTCAAGAACATGTCATATACTGCATATAAATACAATGTTTTTTACGAAGTTTTTACTATGATGTTATTTAGAGGTTTTGCAATGTTTTTATTTAACAATGATTTATGAGATGACACTTATTTTGGAAACTTCTTCATTGAAAATACAAATGCATACCACTTAGGATCGGTTGATGCAAGTGATTTTTGTGCACTTATAAGTAGGGGTGTCATAAAAAACCAAAACCGAATAACCAAACCGAACCAAATGACGTTTGGTTTATTTGGTTCGGGTTATTTGGTTTTCGGTAAATTTGGTTTGGTTAACCGAATAATGATACCTTATTCGGTTTGGTTTTTGGTTAAATTTTCATTGTTTTGGTTAAACCGAAAAAACGAATAAACTATTTAATATATATATATATATATATATATAATATATATATATATAATATATATATATATATATATATATAAATTATTGATTAGTTATCAAGATTTTCATGACTTTTTTAGTTATTAACCATTATAAAGTTATAATTGTTTTATATTTTGTATTAAGAAGCAAATGCAAATTAACCAAATAACTTTTAGTCGTTTCTTTCATTTTCATATACGATTAAAATTATATTAACATATCTCTACAACTTAAATATAATATTTTACATATTAATGTAGTTTCTTTGTTTGGTAATAGTTTAGTAAATTTTTTTTCTTTTAGTTTAATATTTATTTTTACGTGCAGAATTTTATTCGATTTAACCGTTAAACCGAACCGAATAAACCATAACCGAATAAACCGAAACCGATTAAACCGAACCATATTTGGTTTGGTTATGGTTAAATTTAAAATGTAAAAAAACCGATAAAACCGAACCGTTTTAACCGAAAACCAAAAAACCAAACCGAATAACACCCCTACTTATAAGGATTTAATCCTCTTTTGTCTACGTGACTTGTTTGTCTTTGTACTATTGATCTTCATGATCCATCTATTAGGACCGGGACTTGTTTGAGAGTTAAGAATTCGGTTTGAAAATTAGAAGCATGTTTATTGCATCCAAATATGATTTTGTATTTATTATTTTTGAAAAATTTTCATAATTCACTTATCTTATATTGTATATGGTTTTGAAAATATTTAATATTTCTGAAAATATCAAATACTTGTACTACCTTTTGGTTCTTCATTGGTGCTGGATTTTTGTTGCAGGCTACTTCTTTTTGCTTGTTTGATTTTTTTTGCTGCTTCAGCTTTTTGTTGTTGATTTTAAGTGTGAAATTTAACCGTTAGTAAACAATAAACATAAATGAGAAGGTCCAAATCAAACCATACTGCAATTTAGAACTTGGTTGTGCGGTTTTTTGATTTTCTAATTTGTTAAACCATACTACGCAGTGTTGTTTGCAGTTTGACTTTGGTTTGCAATTTGACTTTAATACTGCATAACACCACACTGTAATCACCCTAAATATTGAATTCATGTTCATTCACATATAACGTGCATGTTCATTCACATATTAATAACTTAACAATCACATACTATATATTCATATATGTATGTTTAATTACATCACTAACTTAATATATATTAACTGTATATGTATTTCTTTTTGTAGATATATACATATATCCAAAGAACAAAAACTAATATAGCCATGCATTTTGTTCTATTCACTTTTCTATTAATCATGAATTGCTAATCCTTTCACTTCCATTGATAAATTACAAGCCCCATACATATCGTTTATCATATAACATCACTCATCTCTAAGGGTCTATCATCTTGCATCAAAATTGATGATAATAATAATAATAATAATAATACTCTATAAAAACATCTAAAACAATATTAATATATTAATTAAGAATCAAGACCCCACCATTTTTCATCGATGATCATGAGAAGGAACTAGGTTTAACTACGATGTGTCTCAATGGATGAAGAACGTCACTTCCGCCTGCATGTTTCACAAACTCCGCCGGAGATAAAAAGCTACCATGGCAAGCACACAGTATCTTCACTTGTTCCCCTATTCCATACTTATACAAAATTCCTTCAATCACCCTTCCATTTGGCCCATCTCCTTGAGTGAAAACGCAAGGCATCTCCTCCATTGAACTCGACCCTGTCTCCTTCCCCTGATTCCTCGCCGGAGTACTTTCCCGGTGATCACCACCACCACCACCCGCCGGTGGTTTTGAACATGATGAACCAATCACATGATGATCATTACGTTCTTGTAGCGAGCTTGTTTCTCCACCACTTCCGCTTGATCCTAAATGGGAAAACAAATTCATTTCTACATAAATTAAAACCATCAATCATCGAGTGTAATTATTGCTTGTAAGCTTCGAAGATTGCGAGTATATAATGAAAAAATTAAAAGGACTGAAATGTAACTAAGCTCATAGTTAGTGGACTATTTGTGCTCATAATCTTATAAAAAAATTGGTCTTATTTTAAACCAATGTACAGTTTCTTCTGCACAATGTACATGTCATCAAAGGAGTTTTGATTGGATTTGGTAATTTAATGTCTGGAAAGAGCGTTTTACCAACCATGAATTACAATTAGGGCAACAAAACGAAAATATAAATCAAGTTCACTACTTAAATTGGAAAAACACGTTGCACTTATATAAAGTACAAACAAAACTCCACGAAGTACAATATGGCAATGCACGAAAAATATCCACGTTACCTTGACGATGCGTACTCTGATATTCTGACATACTTCCTTGCGACTCCTGTGAAGCCGGCGACGACAACCCTCCAACACCACCACCACCACTACCAGTACCACCGGTTGTCGTTGTTCCACCACTCGACGGCCATTTATCCGACCCGAATGGCGGTCCCGGTGAGGACCCGACGCGGCTCATAGCTGCCACGTACTCATCTCGTTCACCTCTAGTCAAATTTCTCTGTTTTTCCGACCGGCGGCGCTTTGCGGCGAGTCTTCTTAAGCTCTGAAGCTCCTTTCTTTTTCTCCATTCCTCCTCCGTCTCCACCGGTAGGGACGATGTTCGGATAAGGCCGGAATAAGAGCGACCCGGACCTGTACTCCCTTGACCACTAGCTAACACGTCGTCGTCTCTTACAACCGGCAAAATTGCAGCAATTGAAGACGACCTCAACAACTTAGTATTACTCTTGTCAACACCAAATCGTCCGCCTAACGACAACCCTAGATTCAACTCCACCTCGTCGCCGGAACCCGAACCCAGATCCTCTTCCGGATCGGATCTTCGATGAGGTCCGGCATCGGCGCTGCCTACTGTAAATCTTCGTAATAAATCTCTAGGAAATCTGGTTTTTGTTTGTATTGATAAGTTTTCCATCTCATTGCTTGTTCTTTCGCCCATATCGCACACAAAACGAAATTTATGATTGAATTTGTTGGATTAGACTGCTAATTTAGTAAAATCAAATTGAAGCAGTTGATGACCTGATTTGTGGAAACTCAGATGGGGAAACTTGATTACAATCCGCATCTTCTTTGGGAATCAAATTGTTTTTCAGGAGTGATCAGACTGAAAAGAGGCAACACAAGATGGGTTTATGTTAAAATAGTGAGACAAGCAATCGCCGGAAACAATGGGTGAAACGATATTATGGAGAGAGAAGGAGATACAGAGGTAGCAAATCAGGAAGAGATTCGTGGGGAAGGGAAAAGAAAACTTGACAACGAAAGAAGGAAAAAAATGAAAATTTCATTTTAGGTCCTTCAAATTATGAATACTTGTGTTTATTTTGTTTCATAATTTGTCGATTGACTATTTGATCCTTATTCCTATAGATATTAACGCGCATATGTTGAAGGTCCTATCATAAATATTAACGCGTATATCAAAGTATTGGTAGTTAGAGAAACTTTAAAATTTGAAAGAATGTTATCGTAATTTCTTATTTTACAAGGATATTTTTGGTAAGAAACTGAAAACCCAACAACAATATAAATGAATGGACGAAAATGCCCTTTTGGAAGAAGGTGGGGGACATAAAGAAAGGACAAGTGGCAGAGACAAGAGAGGGGTAGTGGTGACACGTTGGGTCTGGATTGATCATCAAAGCTTATAGATTTTAACATTAAAATGGAATAAAAAAAATTATATAAACAGTGTTTTGTATTCAATTCAATTTTATTTTTTTATATTAATTTTAACATCAAAATCTATTATTATTTTAATACTTTTTTATAAACTTATATATATTTTAAAGACAATATATATATATATATATATATATATATATATATATATATATATATATATATATATATATAGGAAACTTTCCATGTTTCTAATTTGAACACTCTATTTTTACTTTTTCTTAATTTTGCCACTAAAGTTTCAACAAACTTTTACTTTTTATAATTTTACCAATTTATTTTTACTTCTTCATATTTTTGCCACTAAACATTCACTTTTACTTCTTTAAAACCCTTTTCCTTTATTCTTTTATAATTTTACCACTTTATTTTTACTTTTTTATAATTTTGTCACTAAAGTTTCAACAAATTTTTCCTCTTTATAGTTTTGGTACTTTATTTTTACTAATTTTGCCACTAAAGTTTCAACAAACATTTCCTCTTTATAATTTTGGCACTTTATTTTTGCTTCTTTATATTTTTGCCACTAAACTTTCACTCGTGCAACGCATGAGCATTTTCCTAGTTCTAATGATATCTAGTTTTTATATTAATTTTAATTACAATAACTTTATAAAATATATTGTTATAAAATTATAACATTATTATTTATTAGTTTTCTATTTATTTAAAATTTTATATGAATTTGATATAATAAAATTTTGTTTTATTTTTATAATTTATTAATATCATTTAATATATAATATGATATTAGAAGTATCAAATATTTTATTTAAATTAAAATTAGTAAAATAAATTATACTAGAAATATATAAGTCAAAATTTAAAGGGACAATATTCAATAACAAAAGTTTCATTTCATTTTTTTTTAAAGATAAAATGGCATATTCATTACAGTTACACTAAATTGAGTAAAGTTACAGAGGTATGAAATAAGAAATGAAATTTGGAGGTAGGTTAGGTAATACGGTGTATTTGAACCGTACACAATGATTTACCGAATACCGATGTGCATCTTTCACCGCACCACGTAACACCATACTTTGTGTGCGGTTTAGGTGATATTCTTTCTCGTACGAGGAGGCTTCCCCACATTCTCTTTCCTTCCCTGATTGGCCAATGACTAGAAATTTGTAACATCCGATTTCCAAGTAAGTTTCTTTCGAGTTTAAATCATTAAATCTAATTTTTGTAAGGTTTTGGCTTGACCAGGGTGTAGCGGTAGAGGGACCACGACGTGGCATTGCCAGTTTAATGGATGCGCATTCGCGAGGATCGATGACCTGGCAAGGCCGTGGCCACGACGTGGTGGCGACTGGGGTTTAAAACCCTAGATATCAAGATTTGTGTCATATTTAAAGGCACTAACTCCTAGGGTAGCCTTATTTGGTAGCCTCCACCCTCTGAGATTGTATTCCACCCAAACCCTAGCCTCCTTGTGTGAGTTTTGAGTGTATGCGCCCATTTTGTGAAGGTTAAAGGAAAATTGAGTCTCTCTTGTTGCTTGTGTGCTTGGTTCCAACTTAGGTCCATCAACTTCATCACATTTATGATCATTTGGAGGTATAAAGTTGCTATATTGCTCATTACTACTCTATATCTATTGTTATGTCATTTTATGAGCTTTTTGGTCCAAATCTTCTTGTTCTTGGAGTTTGAGTGAACTCCAGAACCCTTGAGTGCATTTTATAGCTTTTGGATAATAGTGGTGGTTAAAAAGATGGCTTGTATGAATTAGTTTCGTGTCCATGCTTTTGGTGCATCCATTAAGAACTTAGGTTTAAAGATCTTGACTTACTGGGATGACTTAATGGATAAAGTTGAAAACTTTATCCATTAAGACCTTGAGAAGGATCAGATCTGAGCTTTTGAGCTCTGTAGATTAAGGGTTAAGAGCTTAATCCATTAAGTTGTTAGAACTAGTTCCCATGACTTGGCGTGTTGCTTGTCACGGCGTGGTGGCAAGTTTCACACTGTTTTGGCATGTAGCCACCACGACATGGTCATGGTGTTGGCCACGACATGACGACTCGACCGTTGACTTTTTGGTCAACTTGTGGGTTTTAGACTATAGATTAAGGATTTGCCTCTAATTGATGTATAAGTGTTCGTAGTGCTAGTATTTACCTCCGTGTGAGATGTGGTGATTATCTTTCGTCTGAGAGGTGAGTTTTATCACTATACTATATATTACAATATATGTCATAGGGTGCTAGGATGTGGTAGATTGTTGTATGCTATTAGGCAGGTAGACTTGTAGATTGTTACTTGTGATGCATATTTGTTTGTTATCTATATTATGTATATGTTGGCATATTTGTAAAGGGTTGAGGCATCCAACTTTTTACAGATGGCCAATAGTGCGGGCAGTACAGCTTGAGGCTAGGGCAACAAGGGGGTGAGTTGATTACAAGACCAACATTGAGTGTTGTGAGTCTAGACATTCACATTGGTCGGGTTGATGCCAAGATCAACTAGATTGTTGTGAGTCTAGACATTTGTTGGGTTGATACGGACCCGATAACATGTATACTTATATGTATATTGTTGTACGTGGTATTTTAGAAACTCACTAAGTTTTGGCTTACAGTTGTGGATTTTAATGTTTCAAATACTTCTGAGGACCGGAGCAAGGCGAAGGTGTGACCGTGTACATCCTCCGTTGGTCGTTAAGTTTTGAAAGGTGTTATATTTTGATACTATGATTTTATGTTATGATGTGAAACTATGGTTTTTTTGGCCGTTACAAAATTATATATTTTTAATCTTTTTATATATATATATATATATATATATATATATATATATATATATATATATAATTACAATTCTATAAATACCAACCATTTTTAAATTATAGTAATCTTATTAAAAAGAGTGAGGTAAAGTGAAAGGTGAAAATTTTTTGGATTTGCAAAGTGAGAAGAAAATAAAATGACATTCAAATGACACATAAAAAGTAAAAAATAAAAGATGAATACAAACTTTAAAATGTCCATAATCATTGATTCTTTAAATTTATTGTATTTAATTTTTGTTGCATTTTTCATACAAAACAAATCCATGACCTTTATAAACAGATATTTGTACATTGTATATAACACAATTGTGCTCTTAAAGTATTTATAAATATATGTTATTAAAGGAATTATATTATATTGTTATTAACTTTCAAACAATAATTTCTACTCAAATTTAATAAATAATAATATAATTATTTTAAAAGTACATGACAAGATAGTCATATGTTAAAACTATATAATCGTAATCCTCTTTAGGTTGTGTCTGAAAAAGAAAATATAACTTTTCATTTAGTGTTATTTTAATTATTGAAAATGATTAATAAATTTAGGTAAACATATATTAGAATCAGGTCATCTTAATGGTTTTCTTCCATAGGTTTATAAATAAATAAAACAAAATTTAATATTGGGTTTGGTTTTTGTTTTGGTTTTTACTATTGTTGTGATTAATTAATTTAAAAATAACTTCTTTTCTAACTTTTAAATTTTGACCATTATAATTATTTCAAATATCAACCATCGTTATTGTTTGTTATTGTTTTTTAGTTAGCAATATAACTTTTAGTTTAATTTTACTTTTAATTATTTTAGATATTCTTTTTAATTAATATATTAAGTATATATTATCTTAATAATTCAAAAGTTGTGACATTAAAATGATATGTTTTATATACAACAACATATCATTAGTAATAATTTAAATATATTATGTTAAGAGTTAAAGAGTTAGTTTTAAAAGTAGAATGATAGACAAGTTTAATAAATTAAAAAAACAAATTAATATGGTTTCAAATGAAAAAAATCAACTAACATTTCTTTTTTTAAGGAACAAAACATATACGAAATTAAAAAAAATGATCAAGCTCTTATTGACTTAAATTTAAAATCGATAATGTATAAAATACATATTCTCTTCATATTTAAAAACATTCATTGAACTCGTAATCTTTATCATAGTTTTTGAGAACACCATATGAACAATAATAGAAATTGTTAAAAATGAATTAGCTTATATAAATTGATATATTTTAAAGGTGTGTCTGCCTCTTTTTTCGTTTTATAAAAATAGAAACACTCCAAACAGAATTTGTGTATTCTAAAAATCATATATATATATATATATATATATATATATATATATATATATATATATATAAAGGTTTTATAAGTACAAATTAAGTATCATAGGTTAAAAAAATTGAGTAAACTAACCATTATAAATTAGTTTTTTTTAATAACAATTTTTTGCAATTTTTGAAAAGTAACATCTTACTCCCTGATGCTTCTTTCCGGATTTGATCTTCAAATTTCGGAGATATTTTTTGATTTTTTTTCAAAGAAATCTCTTTATTTCGAAGTGTTTAATGTCATCAATTTTCAATCAAATATATAATTTTATGCCCTAATATCGTATATAGTTTACATTTACTATGTTTGTCAAACTTTTTGTTAGATTTAAGTACCAAAACGATTTTTTTTCTCTCGAAATTCTCTTATTGTTCCATCGGATTTCAGGCTTGTTC